TCTCTCTCTCTCTCTCTGTCCAAAGTCTCCAGGACACTTATTTCTTGGATGTGATTGAAGGAACTATTTATCTCGTAAAAACAAGGGATGTTCTGGAACTCCTAACAGTCTTTCCCTATCCTCTTTTCCCAGTGGGAGACCCATTGTATTCCCTGCTCCTCAGCGGTGGAGGAGTAATGCCAAGTGGCACGGTAGAGGTAATGTTTGAGTAGTTAATAGCTCCGGAAGGAACCTTGGTAACATAGTGGGTTATGTGTTGGCTGCTAACTTCAAGATCAGCAGTTTGAGTCCACCAGGCACTCCACAGAAGAAAGATTTTTTTGCTCCCCAAAAGATGTACAGCTTAGGAAACCCTATACAGGGTCACTGTGAGTCAGAATTAACACCATGGTACACTACCGCCATTATAGTTCTGGTGTGATACTGGAGGATAAGCACTGGATTGTTAACCACAAGGTCAGCAGTTCAAACCCACCAGCCACCTATATGGTAAACCCTATACAGGGTCACTGTGAGTCAGAACTCATTGGCATTTAACAACAATAGTCTTTGATATTTATTACCTTCACTTTTCTGTAAATTGAAGACTGCATTGTTTTTCTTTTTGCCTTTCTACTTAGGCCAAATGTTTGGAAAGTGAGAAGCATGGAGTTCTTAATAAAATAATAAAAGGCAATATTCGCTTGGGAAAATTAGAGGAAAAAGTCAAGGTGAGTAATCACTACTTAGCCTTAGAGATTCCACTTTCAAATGGGAATGAAGGCTTATCAGGTGCAGCTTTCTGTATTTAAGGAAATGACACATATTTTGACGGTATCACTAATCATCTGTAGAACAGAGCAATATGAGCTTTGTTCAGTGGCAGAAATAGCATCTCTGAACTAATTGAATAAACTCTGATAATCCCCACAATGCAATATATGCTGCTGTCAGTGGTAATAATAATAGTAATACCTATATGACGTGATCTTCAGACTTGGTTGTCAGGCCCAGCGTTTAGTTGGTCCGTGGAAGACCAGTACTGACTTGCTCCTCTCTGGGTGTAATTGTGACTTTATTCTCCAATTTCTCTGCCCAAAGAAACTATCCTCATTTGTCAAAATGGTATGAGGGCTACATCTGACTTCTTCTGACTGCACAAGTGGGGAAAGAGAATCAAAATCATTAGCATCAGCTGCCCAAAGTGGATACTTGTGAGGCAGACATCAGGCATGTCCCTCCTCTCCAACCTAACTTTTTACCTTTTCTGACAATAACTGTCCTTCCCACAACACACTCTGCTTCTCTGCAGTGACCACACAGAACTCAGACATCAGGCATGTCCCTCTCCTCCAACCCTTTTTACCTTTTCTGACAATAACTATTCTGCTTCTCTGCAGGGACCACACAGAACTCTTAGACCGTACTCAAAGTTAGGGAGTTTTTAGGGAAGTTGTTGTTAGTGCCATCAAGTCGGTTCCAACCCATAGCGACCCTGTATAGGGTTTCCAAAGAGTGACTGGTAAGTTTGAACCACTGCTCTTGCGGTTCAAACTGACTTTGCAGTCCAGTGTATTAACCCACAGCACCACATCAGGACTCCAATAACAGGTTGTAATTAGGACCAAGAATGCTCAGGATACATTTCTTCAGTCAGGACAGCCTCTTCTCAGCAATGCATGCAGGCACGCCAGACTCTGTGACCCCTTGACCTCTATCTTACTAGGACAAATACTACAAAAACACTTTAGTTCTGCTGATAAATGCCCAGAGGCACCCCACTCGTCCCACAGGCCTCCTGTCTGAAGGCCATCGGCTTTCTCGCTCCATGGGTCCAGAAATCCACCCGTCTATCCATCTCAGCTGGTCTCCTGACTCTGCTGCTGACAGCTCTCTGTCCCCTTGGTCTAGAACATTCTTCACAGGGACCTTGGGTCCAAAGGACATGGCTCCACTGCTGTTTTTTTTTTCCTGCAGTGAGATTGTCCTTCATGTTCAGTAGCCATGGTAAATTTCATCTTAAAGTGCTCTTAGTTGTTACAATCTGAACAACAAGCAGAATTAATAAAAGCAATCCCCACTTAGATACATAGTAGTCAAACTGAAGAACACAAAAGGCAAAGAGAAGATCTTTAGTAGCCAGAGGAAGAAGACATTTTTACCCATTTGTACCTACAAGGTCAAAGTTAAGAAGTCCAGTAAAAAAGTGTTTGGCAGGGACTTGAAACAGTAGGAAATTTTACTGCTGGGCTTCAAATTAACTAGAACCTTTAGTAAAGCAGAACATTGTCTCAGCTTACAACTCTCCCGTTCTTTTCTTGGATAGATTTTTCTGGATAATGAAACTGTTTCTCGTACACCCAGAAATTTTGTAAAGAAATGGCCTTATCAATATTGTTCATACTGTTCACAAATGAAACAATGCAATATTCATCAACAGTTGTTGTTGCTAAGTGCCGTCAAGTTGCTTCCGACTTACACTGACCCTGTATGGGATTTCCGAGGAGCAACTGGTGACTTTGAACCCTTGACCTTAGAAAGAATAAATTGTAATACTTCACAAAAAAATAACTCAACAGCAATGAAAATGAACAAATTGTATATATAATAATATGGATAAAGTCCCCAAACTTAATATTGAATGAACAAGCATAACACAATTGAGTACTCACAATATGATTGCATTTATGTAAAATTTAAAATAGGCAGAGCTGAATTATTTAATAAATATGTAGGTTGTAAAACTAAAAGAAAACGAAGGAAATGATGACTGTAAAATGAGATGACTACCCAGATGGGGGTGGGGGGTGGGTACTAAGAACTTCCTGTTGTTAGGTAATGGCTACATGGTGCTTGTTAGTGTTAATTAAATTGTTCAATAAGGCATACTCGCCTATTTTAAAATGTACACCCAGTGTCTCACAAACCTGACTCTACTTACCTTGCTGCGTTGTTTCTTTCATAGACTACAGCTTTCTATCACTGTCATTTTTACTTCTTGTCTTTTGGCTGTTGTCTTTCCTCTGGCCAGAATGTAAACTCCACAGTGCAGGGATTTTGTCATTGTTGTTCACTGATATAGCCAAGCACCTAGAGCTGTGCCTGGTACACAGTAGGCATTCAGGAAATATCTTCAGATGTAATTATCAATATGTTTTATAATAGGAATTTTTCAGCAAATCAAAAACAGCGGAAAAGCCGGTATTTATTAGTCTTAGTTTATCTAGTTCTGCCATAACTGAAATATAAGGATGGCTTTGACAAACAGAAAAAGACAAAAGAAGAATTTACTAGAAAATGATAAATGCATTTCTAGTTGTGGTATTTCTCTCATAGCAGCATTAGATAACAAAGACAGATGGAAAGGTAGGTGGCTCATACTCTCTTTCCTTGAGTCTGTAGATATAATCCCCTGGAGGTCCTATAAGGAGCTCTGGTAGCGTAGTGGTTATGAATTAGGCTGTGAACCTCAAGGTCAGCAGTTCAAAACTACCAGCTGTTCTGTGGGAGAAAGATGAGCCTTTTTGCTCCCATAAAGATTTACAGCTTCGGAAACCCTGTACAGGGTCACTATGGTCCTATACCTATTATTGAAGGCCTCAAAGGAGAAGCCAAAGGAATGGAATTCATTCAGTGTCAAGCCATAATTCATAAAATCTTTTTTGAAATAGAAGATTTGAATCTGCATATTAAAAGGCCATATTGTATACCTAGAAAAATTGACAGTGAATATAAGGAAGACCATAGAAGAATTGATGCATTTTAGTCATGGTGTTGGAGGAGAATATTAAAAGTTCCATGGACTGCCAGAAGAACAAACAGATCTGTGTTTGTCACCAAAGAGAGGTGTCCCAACAGAATTCGGAATCATTGGACAATCTCTTTGATATCCCATGCGAGTAAAGTTTTACTAAAGGTAATACAGAAACAGCTGTAAGCATACATTGACAGACAACTTCCAGAGGTTCAAGTCGGATTCAGAAGAGGTCGTGGAATGAGGGATATCATTGCTGATGTC